GGTGTCTGACCATTTTTATTATCAGGCTCAATTATAGCACCTCTCTCAAGAAGCATCTGGACAATACGTCCGTGCCCATTCGCTGCAGCTAATGATAGCGGTGTATGACTGCGCGAACTCATGGTCTCAATTGAGGCGCCTCTCTCAAGAAGCATATGAACGATGCCTTCCTGTCCATTCTCTGCGGCCAGTGATAGAGGTGTCTGACCATTCAGATTTTTTGCCTCTATCCCGATATTACTTCGAGTCAACAGCAACCATACACCACCTTGATTTCCTGCTTCCGTGGCCACCAATAATGCTGCTGGGTCGATGTAATGGGTCGGCACTTTGACCTCGTCATAAAGATGGATACTCTCTGGGGAAATGTCGTCTTGTTTGGCGGCGACTCGCTTGCGCATGAGCATCGTGCGACCCCCTCGGACACAAATCCTTCTCACAGGATATTGGACCGGTCGAAAGGCTTCAAGATTGATAAGTCGGAAAGATTCGCTATGAACCCTCTTGAATTGACTCATAGTAAAATCCAGATCCTTCAAGTAGATGGCTATCACCTTATCTTGCTGGGTTCCTTGTGTGCAGGTTCTTTCCTTGCAATTAAGGATTGCGAGACCTAGGCCGTCGCCTGATATTCCTGCGAAGCCAATGTCTAAATGCACCCCTCTACTATCGACAGTGAAAGGGCTGTCAAGACTGTTAAAAGGAATGAATCGTACAATGTTGTGGGAATGGGCGAATGCGGCAGGAGAGGTGGCGAGAAGGCCGCCGCGATCATCTGAAGACGCCCATGCAAAAAGACTCTGATCGTCTGAAATGCGCATGATTTCCTCCTGAAGTCTGATGAACGCATACTCGCCCTCCCCGTAGATTAGCGGCATGTTGACGTTGAATATGCCCATGAGGGAATAAGCACGGTCTTCCACTCTCCGCGTCTGTCGGTTCGCAGCCCATGACATCCTCTGTGCGACGCTAGACGTTTCAAGGTCTTCTTCTCCGGAAAGAATGCCAGCAGGAATTCCAGTGTATTCAGACAATCTGTCTCGGAGAGTTGCTCTATCTCCCAGAACTTCCCATCTCTCATTCAGAAACATCAACCTTGATGGAGCAATCAGCTCCTGAAGGGTCCAACCTCGAGTAAGCCATCTACTCTTGTAGATTTCATCTTCAGATTGTACGTCCGCAAGAATGGCGTAGCATAAGTCAGACTTTTGGTACCACAGATACATGGAGTTGATTGCTTCCGACAACTCCGCGCTGCTCGTCTTGTCAATGCAGCATGTATCGATCCAGACATACTTATGCCCATCTGTCCTTGCTACCGAGCAGCACTGTATGATTTTCTTGTATCCGCTCTTCTCCTTCGCGCTGACTGTGTTGATTTCCTGGAAAGTGACTTCCTCTTCGCCCCAGGTATGTGACAAAATCGCGTAGGGCGGTAATTCATAATCGAAAAACTCCTGGATCAAGAAGTCTCCGGTGTCAGACAAGCATGTGTTTAGCAGACGCATAGTGGAAATTGGCCCAGATATTTCGTCTTGAATGTGGGTAGTGCTCTTTATCCGTCCAGTGGAATAATGAAGTCGGAAGCAATGCGTGAAGTCTTCAAGGGCAGCCAGCCTCATCGGCCAAGTCAGTCAGCAATCGTTCTGGCGGTCGCTTGATGAGTTGGCGAGGCTGAAGGACAAGGATGTGCCCGCTTGCCTTCAGCTAGCACAGCCTCATTTGTGGCGGTCCGCATCAACCTTGTAACCTCCACCATGACAGCAGTGGATCAATACTCTTAAGGATGTAGACTTATGGATCACAGTGTCAAGGCAAAGCTTTGGCAGGCTGTCTATCAAAGTATGCCGCTGTCATAATAACTTCGAGACAAAGTCGGTTGCGCGAAGCCAAGATCGTTCAGACGTGAGTCCTAATATTCCTCGTTGTAGCATCACGTGCTCTTCGAAGGCATCGATCCTGGACAGACAACGTCCCAACGTACACTCATTAAATTCGTCCAGAAGGAAAGCTCTTCACCGATACAAGGACCCATCTGCAAGTATCTGATCGAAAGGCCAAGATCTTCGAGACACGAATACAACCGGAAATCCAGTATAGAAAAGCATCTTGCCATCCTCTGCAGGTTAAAATCAATACTGTCGGACAGCCAAAGTAATTTAGTGGAGCCTCATGACAAGATTGCTGGAACAATGGAAAAGTGAAGATGGTAACACTTCGCAAGGAGCCATTATATTTAGAGCTTTAGTGGCCACCACTTTCGATATGAAAAGAGAGTGGAAGAGCACTTGTAGGCATGGAACAGTCACCTTGTTGGTTGTCAACTTGGCAGTGTATTTGAGGATAATGGTGTTACTTGGGGAGCAATGAGTGCTCTTGCCGACATCGTGCCTGCTGCATTGTCAGTTCAGAACAGAACAGGATAGTGATGATGCGAAGAGCGATGCTAAGCCCCAAAAGACTAGGCCCTTGTATGCATGAATAGCAAGAGCTACGAGGAAAGAAACAGCGAAGCAACCCTCGAATTGGCCAATGAAAGGAGACTATCCAGCATGCATAGAACCATCCAGTAGCATTCAGTCAATCCTGAAGCGATCGGTTCTACTAGTACTTACTAAATTCCAAATTATTTGTTCATATTGGAGTATATCCCCATTATCTTGACACATAAATGAATATACTTACCAGACCCAATTGGCAATGGTGCCTCGTATTCGTACATCTCCCATACATAACTTGACTTTTATCATATAATTCCAAAAGCAGTCCTACCCTCAATCCAGTGGATGCCATCTCCCCTCCCCACTCTCACTCAGCCTTACAATAATACGTTTGGAATCCCGCCACATCAGTCATTCTAGTAGTTCGAGTCCCCACCCAGCGGCCATCGTATTGTCCAACGCACTAACCCACGGATCACATCGTCCGACCGAACTATGTGCTGCTGCTTGCGTGCGCAGGTGTCAAGTGGTGTCATGCTGGCGTGAGCGACCCGGGTCCCTAACATGTCTCGTGATCCAGGCATCCGCGGGTATTTACCCGGTAATGATGCTGTACATGATTGTAACCATAGTACTTTTCCGACTTGCCATCTTGTAGGTACCTTGGGTTGCAGTGACCTTGACATTGATGTTTCCGGCATCTGTGCTGATTACTAACAAGCTAACCTGTCACCTAGTTGTCACTTGATTAATATATTATTAGGTTCTTGGTTATAACCAGGAACCGACCGATAGAAGCGAGTCAGTTGGTTCTGTCAGTATATTGTTACTGGGCTTGAGACTGGAACACAGAAGCCCGACTATGAGAGGCCCAGACCAATAGAGGGTGGGGAATGCGAGCTCGCTTGGGGGAGTTCGGCTAGCCACGCCGCCGGTTGGATAGATGGGTTTAGCTGGGGATCCCTGGCTTGGCGGGCTGGGTCGTCGGTAATTAGTATAGCCAGCAACTTTCGATCTATCTATTTCACGAGTGTAAATGTCGGTTAAGAATAACCGGTTGATGCATGTTTCACTGCAGAAGGCAGAATATTTTACGTGATGGATTACGAATTTGACCAACCCAGCACGACATGGGGTAAGGGTGGTTGCGATGACGACCAAGGCATGGGCAAGGTTGTCGGTGTCAACTTCCGACGGACTGCAAGGGGAAGCCAAGACGGGGATGGCCTGCTATGGGGGACTATTAGTAGTGTTTGGTAATAGTTGTTACCTGGCGTGTCGCTCAGCATGTTCAGGAAGTGGGATAGACCGGATATCCGGAGTCAAGCTGTATTATGCTGGCCAAGATCCCCTTTCATTGTCTGGTCTTGGTGATCAGGTCAGGTCCAGGTGATTCATCGCTTACATTCTTGACTTCCGACGCCAACCATTCCGCTGACTGATGTGATTATTTGGCGACACCACATTCTAACGACATCATATGTGCAACCGTTTCAAGTAGACAGGAAGTATGGGCGTGGTCTGGTCACACTGGTGTTCCATGACTTTCAATCAGTATACAGCTAACTACCAATGATGGCCTGAGGAGTCAGCACACCCACCCGGACGATCCCTGTCTGGAGATATGCGGGGTATTTTCCGGTGTGGTAGAACATGCTGTACTGCCTGCGTAAGGATGCAGGGTGTAAGCCTTGTTGCACGAAGGACCTCATAAAACGACTTCGAGAGAAGACACTTTGTTTGAATTGCTATCTGTCTTCTGTATCTTGGATTGATCAACCCGGTCAGCAACTTCAAGCAATGGGTTGCTGCATGATGAGTGAGGTGATCGTCGAGTAAAAGACTTGGCTGTTTCGGGAAATGAATTGTACTTCTCACAAACCAATGCCCGTTCGTGGATTTCGGTATCGTGTCAGATCATCCATGCGATCTAAGAAGTACTAAGATCAGCCTACCAATCAGGGGGTGCTACATAGTTCATCCCCCCTGGGACCCGGTAACCTAGCTAGTAGCTCCCTACCGCTAGTTCCTCTTTGTGCAGCTACCCCACAATCATCAAAAGTTCGGACTAGGATGGGGTGATGTTGTCAGTCAACCAGGAATCATGACCCCTATACGAGAACAACTAGTGTATTGACCATGCTTCAATAAGCTGAGTCAGTTTGATTCGGAAGGAGAGTCAATGACTCGGCCGTAACTTGGACATGTGGCCTGGTTTCATCAATATCTCCTTGGAAGAGGAGAAGACTGTCAGGGATTGAGTTCTCCTGATCTCTGGGTCAAGGAGAGGAAGTCGGTGGATGACGAATAATGGAAAGAGGAGAAGGGGGGGAGGAAGCAGGAGTGACAGGACTAGCGCTCTCCGCAGGATCACGGGATCCCGCCCGGAGCAAATGAAGGGCGGGCGTGTAGTAATTGTTAGGTAAGGAATATTGCATCAGGGGTGCGTGCAGGTCTGGGGTAGATGGCGACATACTTTTGAGAACGAAACTATATCTGTTAATTACTATAGGGGATGATTGTCTTGGGGGTTCATGGGAAATGAAGATGACACGCCACGAATTACTCTTACGAGAATGGATCTCTCTCTCATCCCACCTACTATGGAGTACTGTACTGAATAATGGATAACTCACTAGTGCCAGTAGGGAGGAAAGTCCCGATGGTCGGAGGAGTGCGGACTCGGCCTCGAGAAGATCCCGCCCCGTCGGGCAGGTCACGGGGCCACCAGCGGCGGTTTTCCATTATGTCATAGAATGCAGGCGGTGATCCCGATCCAGCAAGACTCGGCCATGGCGCCAGCAAATCCGCCATCGAATCATCACTTTTGTCGACTAATGGAAATCTGTCTGGTAATTTATTCTTCTCTTCTTTTTCAATATTGCAAATACCATCTCTCACCGGGAAAGATGACAGATAGTAGAGAGGTAGGTAGTATGTGAGACACCATCTCACAGAATTAAATCACCACAACCTCTGCATTCTGCCAACTTCCGACCGGTTGATTGATAACCTTACCGTGGTATCCCGGGTATCGCCCCCGAACGTGGATTAAAATAGTACGGTAGTTCGGCCGTGTGAGAAAAAGCAACCAATCCGCAGCGGAAGGCGATCGATCAACGGTCAAAGGATTCAAGGATGGACGGGGAGGGCCACTCACAGTGCAGCAAAGTAAGAAGTAGTACCAAGTAAGAATGGAGCAGCCGAATGGTACCTCTTTTTGTCTTTGCGTCTTCCGAACAACCGGATTCGCCGCTGGAAGGGATTGAGGGCCCCATGTGGTCAGTTGGTTACAAAGTAAAAAAAGTAGTTAGTCCGAGTCACCGGCGGGATCCATGGGCTTCTCTGGCTTTTCTGCGCTGAGCTTCCCTTTCCGCCTCCACTCCGCGGGCAAAACAACCGTGTAAAAAAAAAATTACCAAGAGACAGACAGAGAGAGGGCCAGTGTCACCGTTGTTTGTTGGCTGCTGGCTGGTTGGCAATTCCGGTCTGTTCGCCTTACTTAATGGAAATTTGACGTCGACGTGCAGTCTCTTGCCGCTTTCTTCTCTTTCTTTCTTTTTTTTCCTTCCTATTCTCTCATTTTGCATTCCCCTTCTAAACTACTTTGTACTGTTTGATTACTCACATTATTTTTTACCTTTCTCCCCGTGCTTGGTATTTTTATCACCGACATCAACTTCCTTGATTCTTTTACTTTCCCCCCTCCCCCTCCATTAATTGATCTGCACAAAAATAAAGCAGCCCTGTTGAACCAACATTGCATAGCTCACTGCACGGTCCACTGGCTGCCCCTCCGCCTAAGCGAATCATTACCCTGTCCGCTGGCTTGGATCTCTTGGAGTCAAATAGCGTGTGCCCGCCTCGCGGCGCGGCCTCGTTCCATCCGCCGCGGATTCTGTGACTAACAGCAAACAACCTTCACACTTTGGCTCCGAATATACGCTTAATTACGTCTCCAGCGCCCCTCTTTGGCATCTTCTAGCGTCCTTTGCAGCCAGGGGTGTCTTGGGTGGAATCTGGGGAAAGAAGAAAAAAAAAGCTTTTCCGTTTTTTCCCTTCTTTTCCTCTTTTCTCCTCCCACCGTCCTTTTGCCTGTGTGTGCGTGTGTGTGCCTCTCCTGATCTTCTCGTCACCTCACCACCCTTTTCACTGGGACCGGCCCTACTCTCCTATATAGAGCCTCCCCCAAACCATACGCCCTCCCCCCTCTTCATCATGTCGGCCGCCACCACCGTCCCGCTGTCTCTGCACAAGACACCACAGCCTAGATACTCTCCCGCTGTCTCGGGAAACACCTCGCCTACTGAAGGCTCTCGCAACGCCTCCCCTCACCCCTCCACTTGCTCCTCCCAGAACTCCCGGTCCAGCAGTCGCCGTCGGGAGTCGTTCGGTTCCATTAAGGAAGACGTGGATGGTATGTATATCAATGGACGCGCAAGGATGGTGTCATGGCAAATCACTAACACGTCCCAGGCATTGCCCAGTCCTTCGTCGATACCCACATCGAACAGTCCCCTCAAGAGACCACCAAGCGCAGCCCTATTGAGATGCAGCCCGACTTTTGCTGCCCATGCGGTGGTTTCCTCGGCTGGAAGCAGATCCGGCTGGGTGGCAAGAGTCTGAGTCGGAGCTACAGCGATCTCCGCAGCCTGGGGAACTTGCATGCGCGCGGCTGGGCCTGGGATACGCCCGATGTCGCTCCGCCTAGCAAGCCGGCGCCAGTGGAGGAGCAGAAACTGCAGGTGCCGGAAGTGAAAGAAGTGGAAGTGGAGCAGAAGCCGCCTGCAGGCACCTCCGCTTTGGAACGGCTTCCCCCGGAGGTTCTTGACCATCTTATCTCCATGTTGGCATTGGACGTGCCCCCCAATGGATATACCCCTCGTAATGTGGATCTGATCTCGTGCCTGCTTACCTCAAAGACATTGCACGCCGCCACCCTCAGTGTGTTGTACCGGAACATGACATTCCCCCACTCCATCATCTTCTCCAAGGCCCTCAACCACATCTCTCGCTATCCCGCACTGGGCACGCTGGTTCGCCGCCTTGACTTTTCGCACTTTACGTCGGTTGGATTGGGTCGCACCAAGCAGATGAACGCTGAGATTCAGAATCTTACCGCCAAGACGCTTTTGCAGTGCCTGGAACTGCTGCCCAACCTCAAGGAATGCTTGTTGCAGGAGCATGTCGAGGGCGACATCAGCTTGGATGTGCTCCGCAAGCTGTTCACCGGTCTTCCCAACCTGTCCGCCGTGGATTTCTGCGGCTGCTCTTCCCAATCCTTCTCCACTCTCTTCTTGGAGGCCTTGATTTCCGGTCCTGGTGTCCCCTTGATCCTGCCGAACTTGCGACGGGTTTCCCTGCATGAATGTAGCAGTCTTCCCGCGGCTGCTTTCGAGATCCTCCTGCCGCGCCTGGTCAACCTCACTCACCTCGATGTCACCCACACGCAGATCACCGAGGATGCGTTGTTCTCTATTCCGGAGACCGCGAAGATCACTCATCTCAGCATCTCCCGATGCTCTCGCCTGCGGGGCTCTCGAGTCGTCGAGTTTCTGTCGACCCACCCAGCCGTCTGCGACTCGCTGGTGTTTTTGAACCTGCTGACTGACCCCACCCGATCCCGGCTCCTGGAGGAGGAGGATGTGCAGGCACTTCTCCCTCGTTTGCCTTCTACCCTTCGTTCGCTTAACCTCGGAGGGGCCAAGGTGACCTCCGCCCATACTCAGGCCTTGTTGCCCTTGACGAAGCATTTGGAGGAGCTGGGTCTGAGCTCGTGCGAGCTCAATGGCCAGGATCTCAACACGTTCTTTGTGCCACCCAAGCCGGTTGAAGGAGAACCGATCACTCCTTGGGTTCCATCCACGCTGTGCTACCTGGACCTGAACAAGGCCAACCAGCTGACGATCGGCACTATCTTCAACCCCAATGCGTGCGTTATTCTCTCGCCGCAGAGCTACCCGCTGCAGGTCATCGAGTTTAGCGACAAGCTCATCGCACCTCTGCGCGAGCGGGCGCGCAACACCCGTACTTCGCCGGACTGGACGGTTCGCGAGCTGGGCCGTCGGGGATGGTACGTGCGGGACCCGGCCTCTATGCCGGAGGTTATGCTCGACGACGGAGCGCGCTCCTGGAAGATGGGCGCCCGTTGGTGGGGCATGCGGAAGATTCCGGTGGCCGTGGGCGACGTAGGCGGGCTCTACGGGCACTACATGTTCAAGAAATGAGCATGTCTTTGATTTATACCCTTGCTATCTTCTTTTTTTCCTCATTGTGTATGGCGCATCATTGGTCGGCGTTTTGATTTGGGCCACTGCAACGGAACGCGCCAAAAGTGTGGTTCTGACGACATTGTTTTGTTCTGCATAGCGGGAGCGAGTTTCAGCGTTGGGAGAGCTTGACGGTTGGCTTGGCTTGCTGCTGCGCTTATGATACCTTGCTGTTGGTCGGGTTACGGTTTGTTAATTAGGAAATTGATAGTTATAGAATCTCATCTTAGCATGCAGCTTCCTGTAGATGTTAAAGTTGGGCATAGGAAAAAACCCAGCAAAGTAGTCAACACCAAAATAAGAACCAGTAATTTTGATTTCAAGCACCAATGTTCGATCAAATTATCTGCCTACACTAAGTAAGCGTCGCAACCAACCTCTCCCCAAGCCAACGAATACTCTCCTCAAACTCCCACGTACTCCCCGCCTTCCAATCCGCCCTATTCCCAGGAACCGCCTCCCCCCCAACAAACCCAATATACAGGACATCATCACTCACATGCCCATTATTCCCACTAATCTCATCACCAGGGAAACACAACTTCGCCAACGCAATCGACGCCTCCCCAGTCCAGCTCCCACCCGCCGTATCTCCCCAGATGCCATAGAACTAAACCCTCGTCAGCAACTTACATCCTTCCCGCCTTCTCCAAAGGGGAAAACAACCCACTCCTCCCGAGGGGGGGATATACATACAAGTTGCTCCCCACAAACAACAACCATAACACTCAACGGCCACATCCCATCACGCTGGGGATCATAATCGGTATTCCCGAAGACGACATAAGGGTGTATATTAGCGTCGAGATCAGGAATGCCGTATTGGGAGGAAACAATGTCTTTGAAGCTCGTTTGGTCTTGGATTGATTCGTCGTAGCCGCAGTTACCCCCGTGTGAGTTCGCCCCGTCGCAGTCGATGTCCATGTTGTCGTATCGGCCGCCTAGCGTCGGGCTGTGCAGGAATATCGATCGGTTGGAGAGGTCGCTGCAGTAGGTGAAGGTGCTGTCGGTGGGGTTTTGGCCGTCGTGGAAGCCGGTTGCGAGGGGGTGGGTGCAGGGTTTGGACTTTTGTTTCTTTGCTTTAGTGGATGGGGTGGGGAGGAGGGAAAGGGGGAGGGGATAGGAGGGGATAGGGGGCATTGAGGGCTGACCTTGTGTTTGTTGTAGAGCGCGGAGAGGTTGGGAGGGATGGAGTAGGCGGTTGTTAGGAGGGGGGCGGTGGTGGATAGGAGGAGGAGGGTGGTGAGGAGGTGCATTGTGGTGGTGGTGATGGTGGCTATTGGGTTCGTTGGTGTTGGTTCTGGTTGTGGAGATGAAGAGACTATTTAGGTAGGTGTGTAGCTAGGTGCGGTATCTTGTTATGTGGGATTGGTGTTGTTGTTTAGAGCCCTAATAGATGCCGTCATTAGGTGTATATGACTGGAAGCGAAAGTCAATCTTTGTAAATATTACAGTTTACTAATTGGGAGTTTGATATGGGGATACAGTGGTTACTATTGCAAATGGTTTAAGATCAGCTATCATGGTAGAATTTCTACATTCAGCAGCGACGACTATAGCTATTCTATCTAGGTGCTTATAGGAGAGAGGTATGATATTCAAGACTACGAGTCATGTCTATGGCAGGAAAAGTATCTCCGGTCATAGGGTCTCACAGAGTAACCCCAAGAATTGGCATAACTGGATTTGGTGGGGTTGCGGAGTTGACATCCGATGAGGAGAGCGAATGGTGTAACTCTAACCAGTACATATATTTACCATCCGTGCTATCATAATATGGGGAGGACGAGTTCTGCAGATACTATATATAGTATTGAATGTAGAGAAGCACAGTACATCTATCAATTCAACCATGAGGTATGTAACCAACATGATATCTACTAAGAGAGCTAGGTACAAATATTTGTAACAGATACAAGACATGCATTAAGACAAGATATTTCCCTGATGGGGAAGACCTCTACAGCAGCCACAGTGGCAACAACTCATCTCCCGAGGCGGAGAGAAGACCCGCGTTATCAGCATGATTGTGATACCAATCCAGGCACCTGCATGTCTGGGGCATCACCCTCTGATTGGATGGCTCGTGTTGAGGTGGATGGTGGGGCAGATAGCAGTGGGGCAGTCTGGCCATGAGTGAGAATGACTCATGCTCCATGGCCCCACGAGTAATTACTTGGCGGGTGCGGTTTAGTTGTCTTCCTGCTGTGATCATTCTGTATCATCTCGACTCACAGAGACTCATGATAGACCATGCTGCACTCATGCTGGACTCATGTTGGTGGATTCTGACGATGATATGAGTCGGCCAGGGCAGCAGAAGACATAAAAGAGACAGTTCTACGTAGTAAAGTAAAGCATCTACCAATTGAATGAATCTAGTCGAACTTCTGCAACTTTTAATCTGCAATCAACACGATACCACTGCACTACATGCCATTTTCCTCCGGTCCGTAAGCACCAGCCCCATTCCGACTAGCTTAGCGCCAGAGCACGATGAAGACACTCCCGATCGCTGACATGCTCCGCATTCTGAGGCGCCTGGAAAGATGAAAATGGAAGAACCTTTCCAGGCTTGCGGGCCGACATCATCTGAGTCGCTCGCTCGTGTTCATAGTGTCTTTTCATCTCCACTTGGATAGAGCTAACGAAGATACTTCCTAGACAATAACTTCCTCCTTCAATGGTGTTGGGATGAAGAAGATGGCTCAGAATGACGAGGGTACATAGCTGGAATACTGCGCTGGTTGTTTTGTCAAGATGTACATACTACACAACACTTCATTCTATCATCATTTCAGAGTATACTACTATTGATTCTTCGAAAAGATGAATAAAACCCACCCAACTAAGACACGCCCCAAACGAACCCGCCCCACCTACCGCACTAAACCCAAACCGCAACCCGCCTCCTCAATCCGCAGCGGCCTTATAAACCGGGCCTCACCCCGACCAACTTCATCTTCTCCCTCCCCTTCTCATCCCCCATCGCCTCGGCGAAAGCGTCTTCTTCTTCCCTCTCTTCGCACCGGCTCTCCCGGGTCCAAGGACCCGGCCTCAAGTATAGAAGAATGGTTGTCACTGCAGTTACCAGCATGCACGCCGTCCGCCAGACCTTCGCGTTTATCTGCGCAAAGCCAGACCTCTCCGCCGCCGCCGTATAATAGTTCCCATTTCTACCAGGATCTCCCCCAATACCCTGACTCATTTTACCTCCATCCCGAATACTATAATAATCCTACTTTCGACCTCTCGTCAGCGGCCTTCCCCCCCGTTGACCCTACTTCCCTGTTCTATGACGACTCTCCACCGGATACTTCCCTCACTGCCGGGTCCAATTCAAATTCAACTATAAATACAGCCTTGTCCAGTCTGAGCGATAGTAGCTATCAAGATCAGATCATTGGCTATCAGGATCCGACATCTACTCAACATACTTCTTGCGCGACGATACTTCACCCCCATACACACTCTCTTGTGCCTGTCACTGCTGAAGCCGATCTCGACCCGATTGATTCCTTGCTTAGTTCTCCGGAGCTGAGCGAGGAGTTGAATCTGTTGGCTTCGCCTGGTGTGAATTCTCTTCCTGGTAGGATGCCTCTCTCTTATTAAATGAAAGGAGAATTTGACTGACAAGATGAAGAACCTGAAATAGATTTCCCACCCATGCCATCAGTCAGCTCTACTACATCCTCTCGAGCAGCCGCTCCTCCTAAAGAAGCCCCGAACCGAGTCAAGAAGCGGGAGCTGAACACCCTTGCTGCGCGACGGTATCGTCAGCGCCGCGTGGATCGGATGAATCAGTTAGAGGAGGAGCTTGAGGCGATTAAGCGCGAGCGGGACGAGTTGAAGATGCGGGTTTCCAAGTTGGAGGGTGAGACGGAGGCGTTGCGGAGTATGGTGAGGAGTCAGAAGTAAAATACATCAAATCTTCTATCTTTAAATTTGCGGGACTCTCGAACGTAATCAGAAACAGAACCAGCAGTGTTGTATCCTCGGGTACCCAGATGTGGTATCGCCTGAGATTTTCATCTTCCTAGCCATGATCGCCATCCTTTGCCAATAACAACCAGACATTAACGCCATCGCACTAAAATAGACATCCAATCACCCCAACTGCCCCTAGTCTATCCCCCGAACACGGATCATCAGTGCTTGGCCTTATCAGCAGTCTAGAAAGTGAGATCCCCACTTCCGCACTGATAAGCGGTGATGCGGTGGTGCCACGTCAAACGGTGCCTTGGAGGACAAAGCGTCCAGCCGCATAGGTCGCTTCGATGGTCAATTGGGTGCTGTGTGCGCTTATAGAGTAGTTTTGAATGGAAAGGTAGACGGATAAGGTTTATGAAGGATTGATGGGACACGGTGGATGGCCTTGTGGTGCAATTGAACGCGTAGGTCCTACCTTTATGCCGGTTTCTTAGGATTTGACACATGCAACTTCCTTGCTATCTTGTAAGATACTAATTCTGTGGACGCCTTTCTTTCAACCAAAATATGAATATACAATACAAAAATAAATAAATAAATATATGAATCACACACACACACACACACACACACACACACACACAATCCGAAACTCCACATCCCATATAACCCAAACCCAATAAAACAAAAACAAAATCTGGCAACTAACAATAATCACCCCCCAACCCCATCAACATCCCAACTCCTCATCCCCCGATTACTCAAACTCCCCACCGCCGCCATAACAGCCCTGACAAACCTATCCCCCTCGACCCGCACATCCCTCTCATGCCAATCTTCCTCTTCTTCTCCTTCCACCTCCCTCCTTCTCCTCCCCATTCTCCTACCTCTCCCCCCGTCAGCACTACCACCACCCTTATCATCATCCCCATCCCCATGCAAACTAAAATACTCCACCCCCACCAACCCCGCCAGATTCCTAAACCCCTTATGTTCCAACCCCTCAGGAAGAACCTCCACCACAGCTGACGTCCCCGGGGTTAGAAACATCGCATGCGTAAGACCCGCCCCGTGCACGCCGACTAGTATATCCGTGGACCTGATGACGCGGAGCTGTTCGAGGAGCGGGAGGGAGGCGAAGTCGATGGATTGAATTTGAATTTTTACCTTGGGGTCGGGGTGTAGGGATGTCGGAAGGGACGAGAGAAGGGATTCAGCATCCACTAGACGGCGGGTAGAGGTGCGGTTGATGAATGTGATTGTGATTGTGTTGGGATCTGCTTCGGGGACTGGGAGGAGATCGTAGAAAGATAGGATGCGGGTAATGAAGGTGCGTAGCAAGGGGGAGGAGGTGCATGGGAGGATGGACCAGTCGCCGTGCCAGAGGGGGTTGCTGGCTCCGGGGAGGGGGATGATGAGGTTTTTTGGTGTGAGGGGTGTGGTTTCATCGATTGTGGTGGTGGTGGACGGCTGGGGAAGACGGCGGACAGGTTTATGAGCGAAGAGAGACCAGAGGTCGATGAAGGGGCCTGCGTCGGCGGTGTCGACTAGGGCGACGTTGGTATTGGGGATAGAGGAGGGGGCGAAGAGTGGTGTGCTGGTGTTTGTGTCTAGGGTGGGAGTCATTTGCAGCACGTCGAGGGAGAGAGTCATGGAGAAGATTTCCATGAGGGAGTGCCAGAAGTTCTGGCCACCTTCGCGCTTGGTCAGGATGGTGTAGTTCTGTCTGTCGGGTGGGATGGTGGTGTTGATATTGAGGGTGTTCTTGTGTGGAGGCACGATGCGGATGCCATTGTGGATGACAATCCCGGCTCCAGTGCCGTACCAGTAAAAGTGGAATTCGCGAAGACTGGGGATGCCGCTGGCACGGGGAAGGTCTCTGAGGGTGCAGGGTAAGATGTACTTGGCTTGGGATGGGTCGAAGACAGCGCCGCGGGCGAAGCAGAAAGTGTCGATTCGGTCGCCGGGCTTGGTCTGGGTGTGGAAGCATGTCAGACTAGCGGGGGAGTCGGGTGTGCAGTACTCTGTTGCGTGGTCGCGGAGGCTCTCCAAGTAGGGAGTTCCGAATAGGTTTTTGCAAAGAGGTGGTTGCTCTGGGGCATTGGTGTAGTCTTTTGGAAGGCCAGGGGAGATTCCCTGTGCACATGGGGTTATGTGTGGGGAGAAGAGGGTAAGAGAAGATTCATTGCTTGCGTCTATTACGCTCGCAGTGTAGAGTAGTGATACTATTGCAAGGAAAGACAAGAGTATTGCGCAAGACCGGAGAAATCTGTGCTGGGTACGAAGAGGTATGTGTATAGCATTCATTGCATCCGCAGTCTTAGAGGCACAAAAGACATAGACGGCTTCAGAGACGTCCTGAGACATACTGGGCTTTCATACCATCACAACCTTATAAATAACTACACAGTCTATTGTTCACAATGCCCTCTTGAGCCTACATTCTCCATCAAAACAACACACCCCTGCATCAATACGTCTCATGTCAAGTCTCAGCGCGATCTTTCGAGCCCCGTGCGCAGAAAGCCTCCATACATAGATCGTCCCAAGCTACCGGAACCCAGTGAAAAACCTTTATCAAAGGGAGGTCTATAATCGCCATAATCGCGTTGTTGATGTATAGACATTTACCGAGGCCCGTTGCCGCCAGGATGTGTTAGGGCTCTGCGGGCTGATATTCTCCGCTGCCAATCAGACATCTCCGCCGACGACACCTCGTGTTGTGGCGTCCACCGGTTGGCTCAGTCCCCCGCTTTGGCGGTGAGTACAGCAAGGCTGGGGACTATCCATGCTGGCCCAAGACCAAGTCGCTGGGGCCCAAGTGACCGGGGTAATGATTACTCCTTCGATGGCACAGAGCCGCTGTTTTGGTCCGCGATGTTGCCTGGTGCATACGTGTCGGTGGATCTTGGCAACGCGCTTGAAACAGGGGTGGCATGTATGGTTCGCTGCTTCTTTGCTTCTGTTTCGTTTCCTCGATGGCATAGGGTAGTTCAGTCGCAAGTGTCATAGCGTTCACGTTGATCTCTACACCGTCTTTCGAGACCGGATCACCCCACTCATACCTAAGAGGTTCTAACAATAGCAGGCGCTAATTCACTATTATACTATGAAAAAGGAAACTAAATCATAATAGCTTTGATTTTCCTCTATGGTATCTTGCCAGTAATTCGCTACCCATCACAACATTTTTGTCTATCAATCAATATTATATGCAGCCCACACCTCTAAGCCCGAAAATTAAAAGAGACATCCCGGCATCGCATTCGGCTCGAACCCATTACCCAACCAGAGATGGCTGCCGTCCGGCTCGGTCCAACCGACTTCATTCCCCGCCAAAGAGCCAATGACCGCCACGTCTGCCGGGGGAAAC